AATTTCTAATGCACGAGATGGTAGTGAAGAACATCTTATATTTGATTATGATAAAGTTACAGAGAAAGATACAAATAATGTTGGTAATTATGTTTATTTGAGTGATGAAGGCATGGATACTAACACATTAACAAATAGCGAAGTTGAAAATATAGAAACTTATTTTGAAAATGAAAGAAATGAAGAAACTAGAATTAATATTAGAGAATATGAAGACGATCATTATGAAATAGAGGAGGTTAACTATGTTAATGAGTGGATTTAAGTTTGAAATACCGTAATTGATAAATAAATGTTTTTTTTTTAGATTTGATATTATGCTATTTGTATAAATTGTTTTATTTGTAAATCAATATAATACAAAATTACATTGAAGATATGAAAAAAACACATATAAAGTAATTTACAAAAGTTGGCTATAGTATATTCAAAGTTATTTTGTTCAATTTAATTTTATTTAAATGCTTTGTATTAATATATAGTATATATAATATATGCGCACATGCTTATATATGTCAGTTTTTTAATTAGCTTATTTATACCCGGGTATTTACTAGTTCTTCAAACTATTTGCCTAACAGAGTATCCGAGTATTTACTAGTTTTCCAGACTATGTGTCTAATATAGTATCCAAATACTAATAGTTGGGAGTACTTTTTTAAGGAGATACTATAAGGTGCGCTGTACGGTAGTAATCAATATAATAGATGATGTATCTGATGATCACATGTGCGTTACATGATAGTTAGACATTTAGTAATCTTCTATATAGTTCCAAAATATTCTATATAGTCTAAAAACATTATATAAGGCCTCACTTTTCCTCTTTCTTAAAAATAACTACAGTAACTACAACTATAACTTGAATAATTTTGTAGTTCTCTTTCTTATAATTGTTTTATAATAAATAAACTTGTTATTTATTAAATTCTTTCTGAGAAAACTCTTTTATTTTGTTTCTATTTTGTTAGTTTTTGTTTCTTTTTGTTTCTTTTTGTTTGAATTTGTCTTCTCTTGACTCATTTCAGCACTCATAAGTGCCCAGTACTTGAGTCTTGTTTCTTGTAATTGCTTCTTTAACTCTTCTATAACTCTAAACTATCTTTTTAAATATTGACTCTCTGCTACACTTTGAACTGTCAGTTATTACTCCCTTCTGCAAAGCACCCACTAATGTCCTGAGTTGAAAGTAGTAATAACAATATGAACCGCTTTCATGGTGAATAGTGTAGTGCTATACGTAATATTTTTTGAATATTATCTTCATTTGCTAATGTTTAGTTTATTTTTTATTTATTTTTAATTTATTTATTTTCTTTCGTTTATTATCGCTTGTAATCGTTTATATTTTAATACATTTATTAATTTTTTGGCTTATTTCATTTTTAGTTACTACAAAAAATAAAAAACCATCATGGTGTGGCACTATAAAGCGTTAGAAATTCTATTTGGAAGGTCTTCGGGTTCAAAAACCTTCTCCAATTAAAGTTCAATGCTGCTGCAGCAAAAATTTTGAAGTGGAAAAAAAGCGATCAGGTCACTGATTATTTTCGCTCCCTATTCGATCAAAATGAAGATGACAGTTTTTAAGTAGCCATTATAGCTAAGACTGCCTTCTCTACGACTGCAGTATCTATATTATCAAATGAATACTGTGCTTTTACTTTAGCTATATATGATATTATACTTAACCCCCGATCGAAAAAGGTTATATGCACGGTAAATACACTTTACATATTACTGGGCCAATTCAGAGACCTCAGTTGAAGGAACTGCTATCATAATCCATAATCACCTTAAACCACATTTATACAGCTGCTAAACACACCCTGGTGGAGCTATTGCTCTAGACCTCTTCTTTAAAAACCAAATCAAACTCCGTATCATATCTGTCTATCTTTCATCTACAGATCTAACTAAAAGAAATACTACACAAGAAACAGTTATCAATTGGATT